AAAAAAAAAAAAAAAATCTAGTTTCAAAAGAATAGCAACACACTTACATAAAGTTTCAGCCTCCTAGCATCCTAGGATTACAGGCACTCACACCTAGGTAAAAGTTGCCATTTTAAAGTGTGCAATTAAGTGATTTTCTTTTTTAGCATGTTTATAAGATCTGCAATCCTCACTAATTCCACAAGATTTTATCCACAAGGAAATCCCATATTCATTAGTAGCTAGGCCCTGTCTCCCTTTCCCCAAACTTAATCAACCACTAATCTATTTTTTATCTGCATGGACTCATCTGTTCTGGAAATTTCATATAAATGGGATCATGCAATGTGTGGTCTTTTTTTTTTTTTTTTCTCGGAACCGGGGATTGAACTCAGGCCCTTGCGCTTGCCAGGGAAGTGCTTATTCCACTGAGTCATCTCCCTGGCCCAATGTGTGGTCTTTTATGACTGGACTCTTTCACCGAGCATAATATTTCTGAGATTCATTTCTCAGCATGAATTAGTGCTTTATTCCTTTTTTTAAAAATTCCTTTTAATGATGGGATATATATATATATTTTTTTGGATGTAGCATTTTGTTTATTCATTCATTAGTTGATATACATTTGGGTTATTTCTGCTATTTGACTATTATAAATAATTTTGCTATGATGATTCATGTATAACTATAACTATATGAATTTATGCTTTCACTTCTTGATCATATTATGATGAGTGGCCTTATTGGATCATGGTAATTCTGTGATAAGCATAGATATACCAAATTGTTTTCCATAGTGGCTACATTTTGCTTTTCCACTAGAAATGTATGAAAGTTACATTATTTTCCTCATAAATATTCCTTGTTATCTGATTTTTCACTGCTGGTGCTGGGGATTTAACCCAGGGCCTTTTGTCGTTACATCCCTAACCCTATTTAAAAAAGCTTTTACTTTGAGATTGAGTCTAACTGCTTTGCTAAATTCTTTGAGCTGGATTGGAATTTGTGATCCTCCTGCATCAGCCTCCCAGAGTACTGGTATTATAGATACCTGCCACCATGCCTGGCTTTCTATCCTTTTTAAGTACTTGTTATTTTGAGACAGAGTCTCATTAAATTACCCAGGCTGGCCTTGCACTCAGTCCTCTGCCTCAGCCCCTGACTAGTTGGGATTACAGGAGTGCACCACAATGTCCAGCTTCATTATGCTTTTGATTTGCAGTCACCTTGATTGCTAATGAAGTTGAGCATCTTTTCCTGTGCCTATTGGCCATCTTCATGACTTCTTTGGAGAAATGTTCAAATTCTTTGTCCATTTTTAAGATAATTTATATTTTTGTTGTTGAAGGGAAATACTGTTGAGTTGAACATCCGACATCCAACCAGAGATGTCAAGGAAGCTCACCTTGACTTCTTGGAGAGGATTGGTGGGGAGCTGTACTTCTGGGCAGGCAGAGGTGGAAGTTGTGAGTTCTGTGAGCTCAAGCCCTGGAGGGATGGTCTGAGGTGGAGCCTAGATCCTCTTCCTGCAGAATTTGAGCAGGGAGGAGGAGCACCAGGAGGCCCAGTTTCCTGGACATCAGACACTTGAATAGGCAGTGCTCCAAAAGGGAGGAGGGCTCGGCCATTTGGTCTGTGGTGGCCTTGGCAGGGTGGGTTTGGAAGGAGCAGCAGTGAATTGAAGTAGAAAGAAATGGAGAGCACAGCTTGGGCAATCAGGCAGAGTTGGTGGGAAAGGGAAAGAAAAGAGCAGGGCTCCAGCTGGAGGGCAAGCTGGTTGAAGACACAGTGTTTTGGGCAATGGGAGAAGTTAACATGGTCACAATTTGGAGGGAGAGAGCTGGCCAGGAGCAGGTGAAAAGGTCAGGGCCTCATGCATGTTGACCTGGTTTCCTCAGCAGGAGCCACAGTGAGGGGATTTCTTGAGCGGTAGCCTAAGAGAAGGTAAGGGATTCAAGAACTTGGGCAGGGCCTGGGGAACTTAGGGATGGACTCTCAGGTGGCTTCTGTAGTGGTTCAGGAAAACAGGAAATAAGATTATGAAGTGAAAGCAAAGGTAGGGGAAGAAGTGAAGGCACTTTAAAGAGGGGGAACCTAATCTTACCAATGTTTGTCCCTCGGTGTCCCTAGGGGACAAACCTGTCAGAGTTTTATACCCATTGCAATGAGGGAGACTATGCTGGTGATACGGGCGTCACAGAGGGAAAGAATGCTATAAAACTTTGGGGATGACAAGTGTTATGGCTGTGTCTAGATGTCCCCCAAAGCCTCATGTGGGCATAGGTGGGGCATAGGTGGTTGGATCTAGGGTTTGTACTACTGGTATCAAGGACGTTATGCTGGGACTGACACATGGTGTAAGGCTAGGATTAAATCTGCGAGGCTACCCTAAGGGGTGCAGCCTGGCTAAGATATAAATGACAGAAAGGCATATGGGTTGCTTGCTTGGTTTGCTGTCTTCTTCCTGCCCTGAATTGTTTCTCCTTGGTGATGGCCCTCTGCCATGTACCACCCTGCCTTGGAGCCAACCAGCTATGAACAGAAACTTCTTTAAACCATGAACTACAATAAACTTTTCCTCCTTTAACTGTGGGTGTCAGGTGTTTTGTCTTAGTAATGAGAAAAAGTAACCAACACAGAAAGTTTAGTGAATTAGTGGTTTTGATGGGCTCAAAACCATGCATGATTGTCCATAAAGGAGTATAGATCTAGTCTGTATTATGTATGAAATGATCATGTGTCCTTGGATGCTGCAAGTTAACAGAAGTGTGCAGTTTTAGCTCCAGAAAGTCACTAGCTACTGGTTTGGAAGCTGGGGTCAAGTCCCTGCGAAGGGAGGATGTGTAGGCCTCTGAACCTACAGCAGTGGACATGGCCTTGGTCATAGTGGCCAGCTCCCTACAGACTGCCCTGTGGCCTCCGAACTCCAGGGGCACATAGGCTCCACGAAGGCCACTGGGAAAGATGAACCATGTGGACTATTATGATTTGTCTGCATAGAGTTATAAGTTGTAGCATACATCATTTTAGATGCTTCATGATGGTACTTTCAAACCAGACCCTGCAACTAACAAGAACACAGATAGACTTAGGAGTCTGCCCAGAGACCTAGCTGAGGGAAGGAGGACACTCCTGGAAAATGACCCTCAAGTTATGGCTATCTCTGGCAAGAGGCGCCTGGGACAGCTCTGTTGCAAGTGTCCCAGTGCTGACACTCATCTGGCACGCACAGAAAGGGCCATGTTTCCTGCATTGGCATGCTCATTCTACTTCCTAAAGAGCCTCTGCCCCAGTTCCTGAGTGACAGGCGTGCTTTGCCCAGGGTCTGGCTAGGTCTGTGTCCTTCAGACTCACCACACAGATCTTATGGTGGCTCCAGTGTGGACTCTGCCGTCTCAGGACTGCTTACTGCTGTGGTTACCTGAGTGAGCCTCTTCCCTGTCTTACCAACCTAAGTCTAATGTATGAATTTGTTGACCGTTACCCTGCACTATTTTTTTTTTTTTTTTTTTTTTTTTGAGACAGGGTCTCACTATGCAGTACAACTGGATTTCAGTTTGCAATAAAGAGCAGTGATTTTGGGAGCATCTAACCTTGAGCACTTGGTGTGAGCCTAGGATTGAGGGTCTCCCCTGAGCTTCACAATGGTACCAGAGCTGATGGGTTTGTGCAGGAGAGAAACGAGAGTGGGTGCCCCGCTTCAGACCCTCAGAACCTCCTCGTGGAAATGACTGACAGAGTGACTAGCCCTTCTCTCATGTCACCCTGTAGGAGCTGACTGGGGAGAGCAACATGGAGAGGAAGCCGCCGGAAAGCAGGCAAGGCCTCAGTCACAGAGAAGTGCCCCGCGTGGTCGGGTTGCTGCTCACCATGGCCCTCCTGAATGCTCTCCTTTACCTCTGCCTCGACCAGTTTTTCAGTTCCCCTCGACGCTCCACTGAGGGCCCTAGGCCCTGTCCCCACGGTTACTTCAAAATGGGACAGATGAGAAACTGCTCACCCTGGCTGTCCTGCCAGGAGCTGAGAACAGAAGTGAGGCAGTTAAAGTGCGTTGGGGAAGGAGCTGTGAAAAGAGTGAGTCTGGGGCTTGGGCTGTGCTGCTATGGTGTGGGTCCTTTGGGAGAGCAAGTTTGTGCTCTGTGTTGAGAGCCATAAAGGGTGAGCTGGGTGCAAAGGCCGAGTGATCAAGGAGGATCCTTTGAGTACAGGGGTTCAATGCCAGCCTGGGCATTATAGGGGGACCCCCCCCTTAAGAAAAGAGCCTCAAACCCAGTAACTTCATGTCTGGGGCTATAGCCTAATAAGATAACCCAAAGGAAGAAAAAAAAGCTAAATGCACAAAAGAGTAATAAGGACAAGAAGTTGGAGGGAACAGTTGGGTTGTGATCCAGCCTCTTAATGGGATGTTCTGCCTCTGGTAAGTATAGTTAGGAACCCCTAATGTGACATAAGAAGAAAATCTTAGGATAAGTGGAAAAAGCAAGATACACAAGTGTATTGTTTTCAACTGCAAGATTACTTATTTGTTTAAGAATACAGAAGTGATAGAAATTGTGTAGGGTAAAGGATTATAAACAATGCTTTCCTTTTCAAAATATGATGGGATTATATTGATTTATTATGATTATTTATTTGAAAAAAACACCACCACCACAGGATGAATTCAGTTCTCAGAAGCCTTGGGAACTTTGTCTCATTGAAGCCAATGTGTGCTGTGCTCTGTGTGGCTGTCCTGTAGGGAAGCGGAACCTCCTGGCCCCATCAGCATCCCTGGAAGCTTAGACTTAAACAGCCTGTTTAGACTTAAACAGGATGCTAGAGTGAAAGGGAGTGAGGGAATAAAATACATCTGCAGAACTGTAGCTTGATAAGCTACTGGCTTTTATTTAGATGATAATATGTCTCATTTTCTTAAATGTGGACTGGAGAGACCCCTACACTAGGTTTAGACAGGTCTTCTATGACCTGTTTCTCTGCTGAGGGTGGTCGAGTGTGGTGATGGGTCCCTGTAATTACAGCACTCCGGGAGGCCCTGGCCTGAGAAACAGGACTTCAAGCTGAGCCTGGGCAATATAGTGACTCAGCAAGTCTCTGTCCCAAAATAAAAAGGGTTGGGAGTATCACTTGTTATAAAGGCCCTAGGGTCAATCCCTATTACTGCAAAAAGAAAAGAAAAGAAAACAAAACAAAAAAACTCAAGAAAACACAAACCTGTTTGCAGTGGTTTGTACCTGGAATAACTTTTTTAAAAATTAAATTTATTTTTATTTTATTTTATTGAGAAACAACTAGCAACGAGACAGTTTCAAAACCAATTAGTAAGACAGTTTCAATAATTAATACATTGCATATTGTTGTCTTCATAGTGGTTATTCATAGTACAAGATGCAGACATGATATCCTGTCCAATCACTATGTGTTTAACTGAATGGAAGCGGAAACTCCATTCCTCAGCCTTCTTTCCAGCTGTGGCCCCTGTGCTTCTCCCTGTGACCTCAGCCTGCGATGGTCTGCAGCAGAGGCCTATTCCCTCTACTCTCTGGGCTTGCTTTCCCTTTTCTTTCTTTTATAATAAAGAGTAAAAACAAAAACAAAAACATATAAAGCAACATATAACTTACAACAATAGAAATTGTACAGATTGGGCTTTTTTCTTAAAGGTCCCTCACACTCAGGCGACCTAGGGTTTCCTCTGGAGCCTGCCCCACCTCTGTTCCTCTACCTCTCAGCAGCAGTGCCACTTGGCCAGTTGCTAGGGTCACCAAGCTTGGAGGATGCTGTCTTGGTTCTCCCATATTTGTGCACCCTGTCAGCAACTTTCGTTTTAGTGCACTCAGCATTGGTCTGGCATTACCAGCTTCTTCTCATCATGTCCCCCAGCTTCCCACCCAAGCCTGTGGGCCGAGCAGAATGAGTGCTCTGCCCCACCCCTAGCAACCTGCTAACTAGCATCTACAGCAGTATTAAGTTAGAAGTGAGTGTCTTTCCTCTCTTGAGGATCTCCAGGGGTGCCAGAGTCCTTTGGACCCCAAGCCCTCCAGGATCTGTCCTTAGGGCAGCTCCTTCCCCACCAGCCTGGCCCTGGCAGCCTGTGGGTGCCTTCCCTTCCATTCTGGGCTTGGCTGGGCCTTGCTGGATTCCTCCCCACACAGCAAATGGCTCATTTCCTGACCTCTTTGCTCAAACACTGCCCAGCTACTCAACTGCAAACCCTGTTTTATTCTAAAGCACATTTCAGCTTCCAGTATATATTTTCTGTTTATTTTACTCAATGTCTACCTCCTGCAGCAAAATGCAACTTTCATTATAACAGAGATTTTTGTTAGTCTTTCCTTCCCTCCTACCTACCTTCCTCTCCTTTTACCTTTTCCTTTCTTCCCTCTCTCCTCCCTTCCCCTTTTTCTTCCTTTCCTTCTCCTCCTTTTTGTTTTCTTCTCCTTTCTGGTTTTTCCTCCTAGAGCCTTATTCCACCACTAAGCTGAACCATAAAGCTTAACTTTTTTCTTTAACATAAATACCTATGAAGTGGATAAACACAATTTAATTACATACAGTTAGATTTTACAGTTAAACGTTTTATAAAAAACCATGTAAACTAAATTTTTTTGTGTGTTGTCTTTAACCTTTGTAATACATGGTTCCATGGATGATATAAAGAACTCTTAAGGGCTGGCCAAATAGCTCAGCGGATTAAAGCACCTGCAAGCAGGCCCAGGGGCTGGGGATTCAATCCCCAGGCTTGGTGTGCCGGCCCCACCCCCCAGGACATGCTGAGACAGCAATTGAGACTGTGCCTATAATCCCAGCTCTTGGAGGCTGTAAACAGGCGATCACTGTGGGTCCAATCTAGTAGACCCTGAACACCCTGTAGACTCTTCATTAAAATAAAAAAAAAAGAACACTCAAGTAATTAATAAGGACAAAGCAAGCAATCTTAAAAAATACTGGAAAAAGGTCAGTGACCAGACTTTGAATGATATAAATACAGAAATGCAGATACAGCCTCATTAGTAATGAGAGAAATATAAATTACAACATTACATTGTTTTGCATCCATCTATTTGCTATGAATTACAAAGAATGTTGTAGCTAAGAATGCTGAAAGGGTCTGGGGAGATAGCTTAGTGGCACAAGCGCCTGCCTGGCAAGTGCAAGGTCTCGAGTTCAGTCTCCCATATTAAAAAAAAAAAAGAATGTTGAACATACAATTTTCTCACATGCTATTGATAAAAGTGGGTGTTGGGACATACTTTCTCAGGATAATAACAGCGGTACATATTCATTCAGTAATCTATTTACGTAGCTTATAAAATACTTGAAGAGGTACAGATGTATAGACATATAAATATAAGGCTATTTTTTGTTTGTTTTTGAGACAGGATCTTGCTGTGCAGTTCAGGCTGGTCTTGAACCCACAATAGAGCCCTGGCTCAAACTCAATGATGCTCCAGCCTCAGACTCCGAGGGCTAGGATTATAGGCATAAGCTGCCATACCCAGCTAAGGCTATTTATAGTGTTGTTTTAAAGGGAAAATGGGTAATACTGGAAATGTCCATCAAATCTTTGAAAATAGACTTTCAAAAATCTTAATATAAGGGCTACACAAAATTATAGGTACAAAATAAACAAAAAATTCAATATATTCAGACAACATCCATTCTAAATTTCATGAATGTTATTAAGTTCTCTGTAGTTTTTTAAAAAGATGAACATCTGTACAACCTTACGCAGCTTTAAAAAGAATGATCTAGGGCCAGCAAGATAGCTCAGCAGACTAAGTGCGTGCTTTGGCAAGCACAGGGACCAGGGTTCAATCCCTAGTCCTGCATGCTGCAGTGGCCCCAACCCCTGGGGTGTGCTGAACTGCAACTAAGTCCAGGTGTGGTGGTGCATGCCTGTAATCCCAGTGCTGGGGAGGCTGAAAACAGGAGGATAACTACGAGTCAGAGCTGCGTAGTGAGATACTACCAATACATATATGAGAAAAAGATTAAAAAAAAAAAAAAAAAGGCTGCGGATATAGCTCAGTGGTTTAAG